CTCCTTCTCCTTCTCCTTCTCCTTCTCCTTCTCCTTCTCCTTCTCCTTTCTTCTTTTCTTCCTCAGAAGGCATTCTTCTAAGTAAAAAGTTAGTTTAGGTATTATGGTTCAGATAAAGAATGTTCTGGAATGCATTCATGTGCTCAGACTCCGAGCTTTTGGCAGGTGATTGGATCAGTGGCCTTTATATTCATCAGCAGATTGACCTGCTGGTGGATCCGTGACTAAATGCGCTGTTAGGAGGTGGGGTGTGGTTGGCAGGGGTGTGGCTTAGAAGCATCAATCTCTCCTGGCCCCGCCCTTCTCCCTGCCGCAGTGGTGGGAGCCGCTGTTGTCTACCATACAAGCCCTTCCACTGTGGTGTTTTAGTCTTGGAGCTGGCTGACTATGCACTGAAACACCCCAAAACTACAAGCCCAAATAAACCTCTTCTCCTTAAATGGTGGGTTGGGTGTTGCATCTCAGCAACAAGGAGAGATCCTTGTGGATGGATCTCTGTGGACTTTTCACTTCCTAGCCTGATCAGGATACCTGTCTCCTTTCCCTCACCCAGCCTCTCCTGTCCACTCTTCCTTTCTTGTGTCAATGACCTGTTACGTGAATCCTCTCCCCTCGAACTTTGTGGCTGAAGGCAACACTGCGGTATCATCTCTCACAGTGCTGGGCAATAGCCGGGTTCATCTAGGTGGTCCCTGGTCAAAGTCTCCCTTGCAGTTGCAAGATGGTGAGGAAGATGGTGACTATGGTTTTCCTCAAGAAAGCCAAGATATCTTCATAACATTGATACCTAAGATGTCTTCTTCATACACGTCTGATGCCCCTACTGAAATTGTAGGGAGCTAGCTGGTCAACATTCATTCATTCATTCCCTCTTTGTCTCTCTGTCTTGCTCTGTACCTGTCTGTCTGTCAGGCTCTCCCTCCCTCTCCCTCCCTCTGTCTCTTCCTCTTCCTCTTCCTTCTCCTCCCTCTCTCTCTCTCCTTCCCTCCTCCTCTACCACCATGCCTCCCACCTCCCCACCCACCATGAAGGTTTCTGGGTAGCCTGGTTTCATGCATAACAGCTCTCTCTGCTCAGGCAAGCAGGGAAAGAAGTTCAAGCTGGTGACCAGGCTTGGGAGGCCTTAGCTCTACTGCTGCTGCACTCCATTGATGCAAAGCCAACGACAGAGCCAGCCATGGGGAGGGAACCACTTAAAGGCATGAACTTAGGGACACTTGGTTTATTGAGGGGTGACATATTTCTCTAAGGATGAGCCACCACATTTCTCATTGAGTGCAATTTCTGTCCCTTTCTATACTCCCCATGACTGAAATGTCTTCAAGTTACTGCCGGGGAATTCGTTTCATATCCATGTGCTTTTCTAACTTGCTTGTAGCAAGAGGCTAAAAGGCTTCTTTGAAGAATTCTTATGCAAGCTCTCCGATGGGTCTTAAAAATACACTTTCATTAACCAATATTAAAATGAAGCGTCCCGAAGGTCCCATAGAAAACTATGTTTTTTAGAAAGTCTCTTTGGAAAATCAGATTTGATTCTGTTTTTAACAAACAATGATAACATATCAAACTTAAAAGGCAGATTAGTTTTAGGGAAAGTGATACACCACCAGTGTGGGCGTCCTGGGGTGAACTCTTCAACAATATTGCTTTTCATGCTTAGCTACTAATTAGAAAACCTGCTGTCTTGTGGGGCTGAACTGTGGTTTACTTTTGGTTGGATAATTTTTTTTAACTTACAGAAACCAGGGCTTGTTCAACCCTTCCTCACATTTGAAAAAGAACTCCAATGTAAATGAAGTATTGCATACTTACATGGCAATTTTAGAAAGTCCTTATTTAAAACCATATAACCTGAGCTTCTGCAATGCAACTGAGGACTTAGGTCCTTCTGCAGAGTTTTGTTCTGCAGGATTGAGGCTCAAACCCAGGACCTTGAGCATTGCAGGCAAGTGCTCTTCCATTGAGCTGTACCCCCAGCTCTCTCTCTCTCTGTGTGTGTGTGTGTGTGTGTGTGTGTGTGTGTATCTTTTTTTGTTGTTTGTTTGTTTTTGCGGAACTAGGGATTGAACTCAGGTCCTTGCACTTGAGTTCCACTAAGGGAACTCAATAAGGGAAGCACCTATTCCACTGAGCCATCTCCCCGGCCCCCCTGTATGTCTTAATGATAAATCTCCAAAGCTTTTTTCCTCTTTTTTAAAGACACTAAATCTCCAAAGCTACCTTCTCTCCACTCCCCTCCCCTCCCCTTTCCTCCTCTCCCCTCTGCTCCCATCCCATTTCCTCTTCCCTTCTGCTGCCCTCCCTCTCTCTCTCCCTCCCTTTTTCTCTCCCTCTCCCCTTCCCTCCGTCCCTTCCTTTGGTGACACTGAGTACAGATTTGATTTGAAGGCCTTCACACTGAGCTGTAGCACAAGAACCACACCCTTTTTCCTTATTTTGAGACAGGGTCCCACTAGGTTGCCCAGGCTTGGCTCAAACTCCTGATCCTCCCAATTCAGCCTCTTCAAATGCTGGGATTCACAGTGCTTGGCTTCCAAAGCTTTTCTTTGGTAATTTGGAAAACAATGCATGTGAGTGGGAATAGGAAATTAGGGGCAGCAAATAATCCCTTCCAGGAACATCCTGCCCTGGAGGAGGAGCATGCTCCTGAGGTTTCACTGGGGAGGAGGCTAGAGACACCTGACAGGAGCATCAGCCCGCCACTTCCCAGCTCTGGGGGAAGAGTCCAGGGTTTGCGGCGGAAGCAGAGCCCTTCTTTTCTCCTTTACAGTGACTCTGAGTAAAGCCTCTGAGGCTTGATATCATTTCTCTCACACAGGACTTTAGGTAAACACCCGAAACCTGACTCCAGGAAATAAGTGGTAATTGCAATTTTCTGTAATTTTTCATATGGGAAGAAGATTTCATTACAAATTCCATTTCATTGTGTTCTTCTTACCTTCACTGAAGTGTAATTACAAATAAAAGTTGTATGTATTGAAGGGGCCCAGACGTGTCTCCACATACGTACATGTCATGCAGTAGCTACCATTGTCAAGCTAATCAATGTTTCTGCTGTCTCACATGCTAATCACGTCCTCGTTGTTCTGTGGTGAGAAAGATTTAAGATTTTCTTTCTTGGCAAATTGTAGTTGCATGATACAGTGTTGTTAATTGGTCACTGTACTGTGTATTCAATCCATAAAATGCCTTTGAACATGTATGACCTTTGACTAGCTTTCCCTGGGCCCCAGCAGTCACTATTCCACTCTTAGCGCCGCCGCCAGGAGCTGGGCTTCCCCGAGGCCACAGGGAGGTGTGCGACATGATGCGCTGTTTGTCTTTCTGTGCCTGGCTTGTTTCTCTTAGCACAGCGTCCTCCAGGTAGGGCCACACTGCCACAGAGAGCAGGACTCTTTCTTCTTAAAGGCTGGATAGTACTTTTTTGTACATAGACAGCACCTTTTCTCTATGAATTTATCCATGGTTGGAAAGCTAGCTTGAGTTCACGTTTGTTTTTAAAGTCTTTTTTTTTTTTTTGCAGAACTGGGGATTGAACTCAGGCCCTTGTACTTGCCAGGCAAGTGCTTATTCTACTGAGCCATCTCCCCAGCCCCTTTTAAAGTCTTTTAGAGTCAATTCTTTCCCAAAGGCCTTTTATTTTCCACTGTATACCATTAGAAAGTGGCAAGAGAAGGTATTGGTGGTTTCTTCTCACATCTTGGTTCTCTGGCTTGGTAGACCTGCAGGGTCAAGGGGACTCCAACAGCTCCCCAATACAGATCATCCCTTCCTTCAGTTTAGCTTCCTCCAGTAGAGGGAGAGCAGGGCGCCATTTTCTTTTTCATTTTTTTGGTACATATTCAGTACACGATTACGTTTCTTCTGGGGGTTCATACATGTGTGCTTATGTGACATACCCTAATTCATTTTCCATCCCTTCCACTCCCACCCAATTCCATCTCTTGGTCAGGGAGCCATTTGTTATGAAGCTCTACTGTAAACCCTTCAACAAAAACGTCAGTTGAACAGGAAGCAAGAATTTCAGGTCCACACAAGATGTCCTGTACACTCTCCTCCCTCTCCGCAGCTGTGTCACCGCTACTCAAATTCAGCTTAGCGCCACCCACATTCATGTCAGCTACAGATGGGGACCCAGGGACAAAACAGAAGGGAAAAGCTGGGGGGAATCGTGGGGCCAAATTGGCAGCTGGCCTTTAGCCATCATTTTGTTCACAAAAATCATAGTTTTCCCATTGTTGCAGAAATGCAAAAGGCGGGAGTCTAAATAGCTGGCTCCTGTTTAAGTTAGTTGAGCCATGCTCTTATGACTAAAGCATTTAGACAGCATAAGAACATTATATCATCCCTGGGTGTCCTGAAGGGTTTCAGTCTCAGCACTATCTGGCCCTCAAGTCCACGTTCCTCTCTCCATCCCGGTGGCTCCCTCTGACTTTGGTACTAACTGGTAACCCGCTTGTCATGTAAAAAGGGGGAGCTGAGGTGAGCCTGTGGCGCTTAGTCAAGTAACAATAGTTGTCACTCTCTCTTGTTTAATCCTATAGTGGAGTACGACAAGGAGTTCTCCCCTCGCCAGCGACACCACAAAGAGTTCAAGTTCAACTTATCCCAGATTCCTGAGGGTGAGGCGGTGACGGCTGCTGAATTCCGCATCTACAAGGACTGTGTTGTGGGGAGTTTTAAAAACCAAACTTTTCTTATCAGCATTTATCAAGTCTTGCAGGAGCACCAGCACAGGTATGAAGGCTCGAGGAAGCCCACCGCGTGGGGCTGGCCCCATCCCCCACCCTCTGTTGTCACGTGACCCCGAGTGTGTCTGTGGAAGGTGCTGTGGCGCTCAAGGGCAGCCGTGAGTGTGAGCAGACGGGCGGCCCAGAGGGCAGTGGTAGGCTGGCAAGACCTTGGGAGTGCGAGGCTGACTTGGCCAAGAGCGATCCTTTCCTAAGCGAGCCAGGAAGTGCTACGGACTGAGTGACCTTTGAGCTCAGACAACGCTGCAATTTATTGGGGATGAAATATATCCTGCTATTGTTTGATCCCTACTTTGAATGAAAGATTAGGGTGGCTAAAACCAGTTTACAAATTAAAAATTGTATGATGGGGCCGGGGAGATAGCTCAGCGGTATAAGCGCCTGCCGGGCACGTGCAAGGTCCTGAGTTCGATCCCTGGCACCGCAAAAAAACAAAGAAATGAAAATTGCATGATGATGGTCAGAAGCCATACTCATGCAGAGGACTGTAAGACTATGTATTCATGCATATAATAAGTGCATACACGTGCTTATCTTTGAGTGTGTGTAATGTATTTTTGCCATTTGGAAACAAGGGAATGCTAGATCCCCTTCCCCCATATGTCTGTATTATTATTATTTTCTAAAATGAGTCCAAGTCATGTTAAAAGGCCATAATAAAGTATGTTCCTGGGGCACCTGCCAAGCAATAAAGGAAAACTTGGAGGGTTGAAAGGATAAAGGAATGGAGATTATAGTCATTAGTTCAAATCTGTAGTACACTGAAAAGAAGGCAATGATTGAATTTCGGTGGTATTTAGGGGCCAGCTTAGATGTTCGGTGCAAGTTGAGCACATGACAGGTAAGCTGGCAGGGTCGTCCCTGGAGCCCCATTTAGTGTGCAGGCGAACAGGCATCACCGTGTAGCTCTCAGTGTGCGCAGATGGAAATTAAGCCATGGCAGAAACGCAGGGCGAGGGCAGTCTAGGTGCTACGTGCTAGACCCAAAGGCAAGAATTAAAGGAGTGGGTGGAGGAGGGAAGCCCACGGGCACAGATGGACGAATTCACCACCTCGGGCTCTGTAAGCCACGTCTAGAATTTTGGCTTTGATCTTGGAAGTCTTTTGACTTGGTAAGAATCTGCAAAGCCTTAGGAAGGGCATTAATTTTTTTCTGAATCTACTGATCCCTCTATGGTTCTGCCCCAAGTGCACACCCTAGAATCATGAGGAACAGGAATTTGGCCTATGAAGGGCGATTGTACGTCTGCAAACATCACCAGCATGCAACCCTTCCACAGCCCGGTCTGTAATGGGGAACCTAGGTGAAAGAAGGGTGGATGTGAGGCCCTAGGGCCGCACCACAAGTAAATATAACCATGGTGATACCTTTATCATGCATGAGATTGTCATACCAAAAAAGAAATTAATGTCTGATTTTCACTCCCAGAAGTACACTCAGTGGCTTTTCTATAGAGAAGGCCTCTTTTGAAAGCAAATAATTTATTGCTAGTTATCTGTTTTTTTGATACTTTTAAAAAATCATTTATTTATTTATTTTTAATGTATTTGGTACAGGGTCTCACTATGCAGCTTGGACTTGTAGTGATCCTCCTGTCTCAGCCTCCGTAGTGCTGGGATTACAGGCATGTGCCACCACAGGTGGTTTTGGTGGCTGGCAGGGCGCACCCGGGGCTCTGGGGCTGACATGCGCAGGGGTACTAGGGATATGCACTCAGGTCTGTGAGCTTGCCAGGCAGGTGCTTAGACTGCTGAGCTATCTCACCAGCCCTGTCTTTTGATACTTGGAAGCGAACTGGTATTCAGTGGCTCTCTGGCAGAGCTTTAGCAATGAGTTTTCCATCTGCCAAATTATTTATTCCATTATCTTTCTCTGGTAGAAGTAACCTACTGGTACTTCTCTGGCTTGTGAGTTTGTTTAAAATACATGATTTTCTCTGTCCTGAGGGAACAACGCTATAGTAAAAACATTGGGCTGGAAGCTTAGTAACTATGGAATTTTTTTTTTTTTTTTTTAAGAGTAAGCCAACAGAATCTTTGAGGTTTATATTGAATTCCAGCCAAAACAGAGCAGCTGCCTTGGGCTCACGATGGCGGCAGCATACTTTCTTGAGGCCAGCAGTGAGTTTAGAAAACAAAATCCCACACAGCCTCAGCCTCTGGTGGCCCCCTATCAAAGCAGAGAGCTGTCCTCCTCTGCTGTCTAGGAGGAAAGCATTTGGTGACTAGATGTGTTTAAGTTTTGTGCACGGGAGAGGGAAAATACTGGGAGAATGGGGGCGTGGGTATTTCATGCTTTTGAAGCTCCAGGGTGGCCAGGAGCTCAGGTCTCTTGCTGTCCCCAGTGTCCTTCCTGAGGCCTCCAGACTGCACCGTGGGCTCCCTCTGGGAGAAGCGGGGAGTTTATTCTCCCCATCTGTACCGTCTTAGGTTGTCTTAACTGAGAATCTTTTTCCAAACTTACAAAGAAAGCTATTTGTCCAATTCATATTTAAGTAGAATTTGTAGCATTTGATGTATTCCTTTAATTTAATAAAGATTTGTTTTGCAAAATAGTTGACCTCATGGAAGTAGGAGGGTTCAGGATTTTAAATGCTGAACAGTACACTCAGCAGACAGCGAGAGAAGCAATGTGCTAGACCCCTGATACGAAAGCTAGCTGCCTCCCTTTAGGGGGGCCATGAAGGGTTCATGGGCGATTGACCCTTGCTGTGGACGCCACAGAATCATGTTTGTTCGACTGCTAAGCAATAACTGGACCAGGTAAGTTTTTTTAAAGTGGCTACTTGAGTAGATGGTGCTTCAGTGAGGTCAGGGAAGTACTTGCTGCTTCACTCAGAACTAAAAAGTGCAGTTAGAATTTCAGGCCTGGAAAGATGCAAGGCAACCCGTGCACTGGATCGAGGTCGATGGATCACGCGTACACTGAGTACTCAGGATAGCCTTTGCATTTTAGAACATTTGTTTCATGGTAGTACATGAGGTCTATGTTTTAAGTTGACTTTGATACCCTGGGAATGTAGCTCAGTGTGTACACCGGTCTAGCATGCAGGAGGCCCTGGGGTCAACCCCCAGCAGTGCAAAAAAAAGTGAGTTAGGTGTCAGTATTTGGTGTTATAAATCATTACATGATTATGATGATGCTGGTAAACATTTGCTTTTGTGAAGACCTAACAATTCGGAGAAGACCTTTCCTTATATGCTTTCGTTAGGATTTGACTGTGGCCTGTAGGTAAACAGAGAAGGCACGTTACTGTTGAGAGAGTCCCACGTGACACATGTGAGAATGCCTAAACTGTTGTTGCCTGTGCTTCCTAAGTCACCCTGATAACTGGGGACAGTCCCAAGATAAAGGTGAAGGGCCAGGAACCAGGAGCAGTCTCCTTCTTCATGTCCCCACCCCCCATTCCTGGAGCAGGGACGTAGGGCTTCCAGGGGTTTTTCTGACTGGGTGGCCAAGGAGATGACTCCACCAGGCGGTGAAAGCATGCTTGCTGGAATTCAGGCCCTGCTACTTTGACCTTTAAGGCCTTCTTGGAGAAAACCTTCACAAGCCTCCATTCTTTTGACCAACAATCCATCTACTAACAGTTTTTTGAGAGAAGTAGGATGGAGTGGAAAAAAGACTAGAATTAATTTATACGGCAGCATTTGTTCTCTTACACAGTCACCCTTCTGTGCATTTGCTCCTCTACTGCGTGCTTCAGCACAGTTTAAACACTAAGCCGTCTTCACCCTTGGATTCTAGCTGCTCTGAACCCTGTGGCCTCTCACACCCGTGTGTGGCAGATGATGGCGCCATGTTGCTTTTCACATGTGACCATGACCTGCACTCCTATAGTCCTTGACCACACTTCATAGACGTAGAAGTCAAGGGGACTCTCTTGCAAGCCAGCAGAGATTGGGAGAGAGACCTGCTCAGTCCCTGAGTGATGGTCCTGTTTGGTCTATGAGTTGGCCACACCTGCGCCTGCTGGTTTTGACATTTTGTGCTCTACTCTGTGTGTTTTGGCAGCTTCATTGCTTGGCAGCAGGGGGCTATCTTCTATGTCTATGACAACTTTCTAAGTTCTATCCTGGTACTGTAGTCTTTTGGAAGATATTTAAAGTAAGAATTACCAAACCGAAAGTGAATTTCCTCATAGTATATGTAATATCAAAATATTTTCATATTTAGGAACAGGCAAGGACACATATACACACATACACATGTGGATGTTGTGTGTAAGTATATGTATATACATGCTTTTGTGCAAATTTATATAAATTGTTCATTTTTTAAAAGTTTGGTTCATATGTTTCATCCTATTTTCAGATTCCTTAGGATATGAATAAATGTTGTGAAGGAAACAAATTGATGCTGCTTTAGAGTTGGCTTTCAAAACTTTGAGAAAAAAATTTCTTAGGGCAACCTAGAGACTAAACTAATGAAACCCATAGGATCAATCCCAGACTGAGTTGTTGCCTTAGTTTTGAAAAAATTTGCAAATTCTGAGGTATTTTACAAATAGAATATAATTGTCCCAGAAGGGAAAATGAGTATTGAAAGGCAATATCTATCTATCTATCTATCTATCTATCTATCTATCTATCTATCTATCTATCTTTCTTTCTTTCTTTCTTTCTTTCTTTCTTTCTATCTATCTATCTATCTATCTATCTATCTATCTATCTATCTATCTATCTACCTACCTTTCTATCTATCTATCTATCTATCTATCTATCTATCTATCTATCTATCTAGATATATGTTAGAAATTTTGACTTCATATTCTGAACCATTAACAGAAATCAGGAACCCAGGGAAGAGCTAGGAAAGGTAACAAAGATGAGTGTTAGGTTGGCACTCACTTGAGTCAGGTGGGGAGGTCTCGCGGAGCGTTCATCCAGCAGAAGGAGCTGGACTATGGCACCTTTGTTAGAACATAAGGGAGCCACTGAAGTAGGTTAGACAGCCCAACTATGAAAGAATTAAACCTGATTTCT